TGTTCCACTGGATTCCCCTCTTTGCTCCCTTCTTCTCCTTTCCAGTGGCTCTTTGGCGGCGGCCTTTACCTCCTCTTCTGCTGTATACGGAGAGGTGCTCTTTCCGGTACGCGTGTCAACCATGGTGATGGGTGCACAACCAAGTAACGGTTCCACTCCTCACCACTTAGACTCTCCCCCTGCTTAACTTTAAGACTAACTGACTCTTCTACGGACCACAGAGTCCTACCCTTCGTTCCAGCCAGATTACCACGGCCGACGGAAGCTTTCGCATCCACAGTCCTTGCAATCCAGACCCAGATGCCCAGCACCTGCGGTCAAACCCACCTGGCTTTCACTCCGGTTCAGACCCTGTCAACTAGGGGCACTAATACTACAGCCGTCACTGCAGAACCTGTTGCTGACCAGGAGGCATTTAAGGAGATCCCCCATAACTCCTCAGGAATTCTTTAACTTCGTAGACAGGACGACGCAGTCAGCAGGTTCTCTCAAGACTTAGACGGCCCGTTGTGCAGCCCACAGCTCGGATTTTGGACCTACCGTGCCACACCGAGCAGCCCGCCGGTCAGTACCGGTCCTTGGGAGGGTTCGTGTCCTCCGGGACAGTCGAGTCGTCAGACAGTCTTTAGCCCTACTCAGCCCGTGTGGGTCTGGTCAACAAGGCCCTATCCTTCATACACGGAGTCCTATCACCTGGACAGAAGAGACTCAAGGCAAAAAGAAGAGACAGACAGACTCAGACTCAGCAAGTACCATAGGGTGAGTGCACATCCAGAGGGCGAGGGGATAGGCTAAGGGTTTGGCGAGATTATACCAACTCCAGCTTGGTCAAAATCGTGGTCAGCAGCTCCGGTCGTCACCTTGGTCAACGCTTGGTCAACGCTTGGTCAACGCTTGGTCAACGCTTGGTCAACGCTTGGTCAACGCTTGGTCAACATGGTCAAACCCCGGTCAATGCTCCGGTCAACCCTCTGGTCAACTCCCGATCAACCCTCTGATCGGTTATGGCTGCCGGCACGTTCTTCCTCGCCAGTCTCCCTAATCTTTCTCCTCCTTCACCCTTCTTCTTTCTCGCTGTTTCTTTTTTTTTTTTTTTTT